GAGCTGGGCTGTCACCGCTTGGCCGCCGGTGGGGGGTTTGGGAGGCCGCATCGCACACAAACACGCACACGCTCCCTCAACTTCCAGGAACGCACACATACGCAGACTCGTTTCCACACGGACATAGACACACGCACAGAAACCCACACACTACCTCAACTCACTCGACTTAACACTTCTCACTACACACTTACCGGATAACTCGCACTCTGATTTCCTACGTGATGAAAAATGCTTTCGGGCCACTCGTCGTCTAGTTGTCTTTTCTTTCTTACATGCTATGCTGCTGTGCTACGGCTTCTTTTTGGAATGCTTCTTTTCGGTGTGCAGCACTTCGCTGCTGGAAACTGGGCTGTGCGTCAAATTGAAGAGGTATGAGTCAAGTATGTAGACTCAGATGCATCTTCGGTCCTCATACAGTCTATGCCACTGACCACTCTCCCTTTTTGTTCCCTGGTTTTTTCACGCCCGACCATCTGGTGCTGTTCCCGCGGAGAACATCCGGCTTCTCACCCCTCGCGCCGCGCAGGCCAGCACGGCTCAGGAGGGTTTCTACACCATTGAGGCCTTCGCCCCGCGATCGACGGACGGACGGATTGCATGGACGGAGCATGTGCCGCAAGCGAAAGACACCTGGGCTTCGGCCATGGTAGGGCCTGGTAGGGGCTTGGTGTAGGGCGGCAGCCTGGTGGAGCGCCCGGGAGGGTAGGGCGCCAGCCATGCACCGATCTGGTCCTGCATCGATCGGAAGCCCCTGTGACCTGAGCGCCCCGTGTGGTAACGGCGCGCCGGTGGACCGGACCCCTTGGCTCGATGGGGCTTGGGCTTGGATGACCTTCCTTCGGTCAGATGATGATCGGTTTCTCCCCCAAAGGCCTTCTGAAAGGCCGTGACTCGGTCAAAAGAGCACCTGGAAGTGTCTCCAAAAAGAAGCAAAGAAGCACTTTTCGCCAAAAGAGAACCAACCCAAACTCTCAAAACCCTTCCAAAAACTCGCCTCCGTCTTCCACGTCGAGTTTCACGTCTTCCACACGTCCGCAACACGTCCGGGTCCCAGTCCGACGTCCCCGGTGGGGTCGACCTTCGTCAGGTGGACCGTGGTGCCGTGGCCTTGGACGGTCAGACCTTGCGAGCGGCCTTTCGCCCCTCGGTGACCGACGAAAGGGGGGTCGGGACGGTCGGAGCAGCGGGTCGGGGCGGGGGACCTTGGAAAGCCGGTGGGTGGACTGAGTTGTGTCATGTTGTGTCTATACATAGACTTGTAGTGGTCTAGGAAGGAGGATACGAGCTTTCATGATTATAGGTGTTTGGATGAGAGTCAGTGGAGGTGGGATGGGTTCAAGATCTGTACGGGTCGTACAAGGGCTGGGCAAAACTTGTGGGTGGCTTTTGGTGAGTGATTGAACCTCCATAGGTGCGACAGTGAAGAAAAGACTCACTAGTAACACTAGTGGTGCCTGTATGCAGCAGGCTACCCTTCCAGGTGCTTTGTTAAAAACATGTCTCGTTTGGATGTGCACATCTGGACATCTCCTTTATACAACCCAAATCTCAGTACTCTCCCTGGATCTAACATGGACGTGGAAAACCCTCCTGTTTGTAGAAGAACATTGTCTTTCAAGTGGCCATTTTTCACTTCCATGTTAGTTCCAAGGAGTGTAGACACTTCTTGATATTCGCGGAACCCTTAAGCCTCAAGCAGTTCCGATATGTTCCGACTATTGACCAGTTCTTAAGCCTAATTTTCTCTGAATCAGAATAGCGGATGATGCCCACTTGGCCCTTCTTCTGCAAAGGTACATGGAGCAATCACGACCACTGACCAGCACTGTTTGACCGATAGGTGCCCGTCTTCTGAACAATTTGGGTCACATTTGTAGCCATCCCGTGAACTCCCGAAATCACAATCCCTAGGGCTCCAAGTACCTTCTAAGAAGGTGTTTAGGGTGGGTTTGGAGGGTCCAGTCATACCTCACTGAGGAGGTACGACTGGAGGTGTAGGGAATACTTAGTCAAGACTCTCCGACCAGCGGAGGTTAGGTTTTGAGAGACAGGTTAGGTTGTCCTCCACTCCAGGATGCAGAAAAGACCGCGAAGAAAACACCGCAACATGCCATCAGGGTCTTCGGAACCATTGCATGTTTCCGGAAAGTCTCCTGCAGCACCTGAAAGCTCAACAGTTGATGTCGCGAAGGTGAATTCGACCGACCTGGACAACAGAAGAAGGCTTCGGACAAGAATGCTTCTCCTCGCGGAGTCCGTCGCTTGAACTGCTCCGTCCTCGCTCCAAAGACCCACTCTCCCGCCCGAGATCAACAACGCCATGACGCCACAAACACACCGCCATGTCGCTCGATCCTTTCGGGACCACCCGACTCCGAGCGCGCGCGTTCCTCGCGCTCTTTCCCACCGCCTCCGACCTGTGACCTCTCCGGCGCGTGGACGACTGGACGATCGGAGAAAGCCCTTCGGGTCCGGGCGCGGGCGGCTCGGCTCGGAGCGGGATCGCCGAGGCTCGCACTTCTTGTTGGACCGTTCCAGAGGAGCCATTGCTCAAGCGTGCCTTGGGGAGGTCGGGTGATGGGGAGGTGATGGGGCGGAGCGTGCCTTGGGATGGCCAAAGGTTTTGGGCGCCCGGGAAACGCACGCAAAGCACGAGGGCAGGCTGGAGCTGGAAAGTTCTGGCTAGAATTCGGAAAAGAATGGAGTACTGATACAAGTTTGGAGGAAGCAGGGCTAGAGGTCCTAAGGATGAAATCAGAAAATTGTAGCTAGGGCTTTTCATGAAATTTGAGGCTTCCAAAGCTCGAGGACGCATGGTACTTGGTGGACATCACTCGGACCACTGTGTAAAATATCATCCCCTATAACTATAGGGCTCCAAGTACCTGCCAAGAAGGTGGGACTGGGGTGGGTACCAGGAGGGCCCAGTTATACCTTTTCAGGAGAGCCCGGGATTATGGTCCCCAAAAAGACATGGCCACATCCTCCCACGACCTCGTCGCTCCGTCGAACAAGTGCCCTTCTTTGCCCGCCGACGGCCCTGCGCCGTCCCGAGTTGCGCATTTGAACCATGCACCCTATGACTCAAGTTCCGAAGAAGGAAGAAGATCTCCTCCTTTAATATAGTTGTCCCTTCCATGGTTAGTGAGGAAAATTAGTGAGTCAGAGTGTCCCGAAATTCTCAGGTACCCTGCAATGGCTGGGCTGATCTGCCAGAACCGTACGCGGCTTCCTGACCAGTTTACAGGGGGGGGACTGGCAGGTGCGCACGCGAAATGGTGTGCAGAATGGTGTGCGATTTGCTTGAAGCCTCAAGATCTGGCTTAAAAAATGGTTGTGCTCCCACAGATGTGCTCCCACAGAAGGACAGGTGGGTAACAGGTTTGATATTGATGCTTTTTCCCTGACACAAACACCAATGGTTAGCTATGCTCTGCATGAAGCAAAGGCAACAATGTGCAGCCACGCATAACCATCCTTTATGGGCGGAACATCCTGCGTGTGACTTTCTTTGTTCCGTTCAAGTTTGGCGTGACATGTGTCACCATTGGTCTATAGCACATCATAACCATTTCTGTCAGCTGGCTGATCTCAAATGAACCTCATTTCAAGAAGCTTTGGAACATAGAACGTGTCGAGCCCATCTCAACGCCCCTTCCTCCGAACAGATCGGGTAGCACGGAGGACCTCTGTCTTTGACGACTCGCCCCGCTCCGAAGTCCCGCGAGGCTTTGTCACAGGGCGACCGGTGCTCAATGGCTGCGAATCCAAAACGTGCCTTGGAGCGCCGAGTGGAGTGAAAACACACCCGAAACCCGAAACCCGAAAACCGAAAACACGGTGGTCTTGTTTGAACCGGACACATGTGGAAGCATCTGTGCAATCTCTGAAGAACAGACCGATAGAGTGGAACATGGCCCCATCTGCAGGGCGCTACACTTTTTGGTGGCCGATGAAAGCGATAGAACGGTCCGATGAAGGTGATGTTTTTGGTTCGTTGAACGGACGGTTTCGGCTCTTCTTTCGGCTCTACACATCTTCCCAGGGCGGTTCCCAAAAGTTCGGTTGTCCCTCGAGAGATGCTGGCTTTCTGCCGAAAAATGCGATCTGCACCAACTCTGGCCGACTTCCCCAAATGCGTTTGAGTGGACGTTCTTGGACAAGAGCGAATCTACACCCTCTTTTCAAAGAGGTGAGGTATTATCCTATAAATCCTATATGCCTTTTCATGTGAGCACGCCAACCAAAAAGAACCTCCCAAGAAGCGGGATGACACACCAGTCCGTCGGTCCAGCGACGTCCTTCGGCAGCGAGGTGGGCGGTACCTGGACATCGTGGCGAGCCTTTGAGAATGAATCCACCTGGGCGACTGGGATCGTCTCAGCTCCGAGTGGGAGTAGTGACGGGAGTCGGACTGCTCTTTGGGGTCAAGGGAAGGTGCTCCAAGTAGCGAACTGCGCCCTGCATGCACCCTGCAGATGCTGGCTGAGTATCTGACTGGAACTGCTGAGTCACTGACTCTTGCAACAAAAACAGTTTGGGAGATCAACAGCAATGTTTGTTCCCACGCTGCTGAGTCGAAGACGTCAGAACTTCTTCCGATGCCTTTTTTGTTCCATATATATATATATATGCATATTTGCTTGGAGGGGCTGTTGTTACCAGAATTGTGGCAAAATCGGCGACCTCTCAATGATCAGAGTTGTTTGGAATCTTTGGAAGTTGAGGGGATGTTTCCTCAAAGCCCTGAACAACAACTGCACCCAGCAACGTCATTCATGGATGACCTAGATGAGTGTCTAGAGTCTAGAGTCTAGAGTCTAGAGCTTCGCGGAAGTTTGGGCGGCGCCCTACTTGCATCCCCCTAGAATCTCTACTGCCCAGACGCTCATCGGCCCTCATATGCAGGGGTCGGACTCGAATCCTTTGGAGGGGTCTGGGGTCTCAATTCCCTAGGTTTTGAGGGACCAAGGGCTGTTTGGAGCGTCTGTGTGCTATCTTTCAACAACCGTTTTTGATTGCTTACCCAACCCACCACTTTCCATTCTGAACATGCCAGCACAAAAGCCTCCTTTTACATGTGTCTCTTCAGGTTCGGCGTCGCCACGGCTAAGCCGAACCTGGCCACTGGCATCTCTTTCGGGGTTTTCACCGGCCGTTCCGAAAGCCCCCAAAGCGGTTTTCGCTGCCTTCGCTGCGAACCAAGGCGGCGCAGCCCAACGTCCCCGTCTTGGTGCAGTACCATGCAGCCTTCAGCGCCAGCTTCGTCGTGGGCGACTGCGCCTCCGAGCAAGGCATGGCCGGAGCGCACCACAAATACAGGAAGAGACCCACGTCGAACCGTGCGAACGGCATGGACCAGACAGGAAGACGAGTTTCCTCTACAACAATTCTACGACCGGGTTTTCAGGTTCATTTTTAGTTTTCCAGTGTGTAGCTGTTGGCCATCTAAGGTGTGGAGGCATTCGGTGACCCAGTACTGTCAGCGGCTTCTGACCGCTTCTCCACCCAGATCGCGCTTCTTGCTCTCGGATGGTGTACCAAAGCCCCTAACGCTCCGTCCATCAATCGATCCTATCTAGAAACTTCTATGTAGTAATACCTGGAGTCTCAGTTCGTACTTCAGAAAATGGGTACAAGTACCTGTTCTTTATAGGGTCATGTCCCATTTTCTAAGGTACTGGGTCAGTCGGGTCCAGGTATATATAGTAGATGTCTCCAGATGGATCCTTAGCTTCCTAAGCTGCCCGTCCTGATGTGTGCCTTGCCGTGTTTTTGTTGTTCGATGGAGGGAGTTCACATCCCAAGGATGCCATCTTCAGTAGCTTGGATAGGACATCATTGGGACACCACGTGCAGAAAAGCAGTGGATCCTCCCCAAGTTTTCGAGAGTTTTCCTATCTCCTCTCAACGGCTTCTTGAAGTAGAACTTGGTTAGAAGTACTCCTGGAAACATCATCAAACCGTGAAACACGTTGTTTTCTCACGCGCGCGAGCTGCATTGTCAGGTGAGAAGCCTTGCTGGGCAAGCTGGCATCGAACAATGTGCCCCGGCTGATCCGCGTTGATGGGAGCGCAACGGTGCAGGATCCAAGTTGATGGATCGATACAAGAACTGGGGGTGGACGTTGAGTCCCTTTGATACCCTTTTGACATTGACAGCAGATTGAGGATAGACCATCCAATCCAAATTCGAGTACGGATGCACCACTAGGACAAGACCCTTTTTTTTAAGCGTTTCATGACCATGCACGTTGCCAGCTACTTGGAAGGTCTGACCCCACAAGACACGGTACAAGACACCTTGCCTTTCAGATTTTCCGAAAGAGAAAAGGGGCCGGGCCACGTCCGTCACGTCACTCACGCGACGTCGCAGTTCCGAGCTCGATCGGACGATCAGATCTTGGAAACAAGGTGGTCAGACCCTCTTTTTTGCACCCACGGACGTGGATTGGGTATATGATCAATGAAATTATGAAGTGAAGTCCTTATGAAAGCCTTGAGATTATGAAGTCCTTTCAGTTCCCAATCTTTCAAGATTGGCTTTGGAGCCACCTGACCAGCCGGCCAGGTGGCAGCCGGCCAGGTGGCACTGCTCAATACTTTGTTTTTTTCCACGTACCTTCGACCTCAGACCATGGGATGAGGGTGTTTGACCCCTCATTATATACCTAGCACTTCCAATGGGTGCCCTGTCTGGAGACCTGTTTACGTAGGGTAGGGTAGTCAGGGTAGTCGAACTTGCCAGGACACCCAGGTCCAGGATGATCGTAGTAAAGCCGTTTTGTTGGGGATTCAGCCACCTGAAAAGCGGAGTCGAACCTTTTGGAGAGACGTGGAGACGCTGGAGAGTGCCATGGAGTCACTCGCCCATCGGAGCCCAGGTTTTTGCGTGGCGAATGGAATGGCTGGGGTAATGATGACGATGAGACTGGGCACAGAGCCAGCAGTTTCTGTTTTTTTTTCCCTCCGTGGTCGGGGGGTGTTCCATCACTAAGGAACCTGATTTTGATGTGTTTTTGTGTTTTTCTTCGACTTTGTTACTTGCATTTCTTCATGCAGTCCTTTAATAAGGGAATGCTCTTTTGGCCGTTGGATGGCAAAAACATTAGCGGGCCCCCCCCAACAAGGCAAACCTCGTAGGATCTTCACAGCCCGTTTTCTTCAAACCTCGAAGCCCCTGTCAGACAGCCCGTACCCAAATCCACGGTGCAAGGGTGCGATGGAGAAGATCGGCCACTTCACCTGGGCGACGAAAGTGGCCTTGACGAAGTTCACCAAATCCAAGTTTGCACCCGTCTTAGGTGGGGTGATTCGTCCGTGGGGTGCAAGAGAGGGGGGAGATCCCAAAATGAAACTGAAATGAAACCGGTGATTCCGAGTTTCGGCGATTTGTGAGTGGATGGAGAGATTGGAGATGGGAGAAACATGCTGTCAGAGGTGCTTTGACTAGCATGCTAGCATGGGAAAGCACATTCTTTTTTCTGTCAGCTCCCATACAAGTGTTTCAAATTCCGATCACAGAGTGGGGTTATCTTCGTACTCAAAAAGACAAGGCTTTAACTGGGCGCCAAAAAGGAGTGAGAAGCTTTTGTAAGTCTTTTTTCCAATGTCACACACTTTTTCAAAGACAAACACTTCCAATCAAATGCAATCAACACTATAGCGAGAACCACATTCCTCACTCCTTTTCTCAGTCCGATGCATTCGCAGCCACTATAGGACCACTAAGCTTCAGATGAAGAAGCTTAAGGACGCCTTTTTGAGCAGCGTTGTCCTCAGTCCTCCGCTCTCCACACTTCCTTCGAGAGGTCCCTCGCGCTGTCGATGTTCGTTCCCGCAGGCAGTTGGGAGACCTCCTACGGTGACCTGGGCAGAGAAAAAACGGGAGGAAACACGAACAATGAACAGCTGAATCTGGTTGGTTGCTTTTTTGTTATGTAGAGTCACACTGTTCTCGGAGGGTCCCACTAACTCACAGTATGTCCCACTAGTCTTGATCTGACCTGTCAGACAGTTGGGATTCGACTGATCCAAACGCCGGCGTTTTCGGTGGTTTTGGCAATGTTCAACCACCGGTTGGGGCCAAGAGCCAAGGGGTTTGAGGCAGAGTTCCCCTAAGTTGAGTGCTTTTTCTCTTCTTCCGGCAGGTGTGTAGAGTTTGGGGCGGAAAAGGTTCTTGAAATGGGAGCGGCTGATGGGAAGCTGACCACGGTATGCCATGCATCAATCATTGGACCGGAGCGACGGACTTGGCGGAGGCACGAAAGTAGCGAAGACTGCTGTTACACACGCACACACACACACACATGCCCATGGCCTGAAAGCGAGAAGGTTGAGAATGATCAGCACGATCCACACCAAATAAAAGTGCTAAGTTTCCCCATTTCTGGCCTGCTCTTCCCCTGTTTGCCCCATACGGATCCACACACGACGTGCACTCATGAATTCATCGGTTTCTTCCTCGCTTGAACTGACGTGGTCAATCCAACGGACCGGCTTCCGGAGACGTCGCTGGTGGTACACTGGACTAAGAGACTCCTGCTATTCAAGTCAGCTGAAGGATCACTCCAAGTTCCGAAATCCTTGTCTCTCCTTCATCCCTCTCCCTTTCCCTCTTCTCTCTCTCTCTCTCTCCTCTCTCTCTTCTTCTTCCTCCTCCGCGGGAACGCTCAACGCGGAACGAGCTCGTCCATGAAGGTCTTCATCCCGAACGTGAGTTGCTCTACAACCTCCCCAGCTTCGACCCCCGCAGCAGCTCCTTCGCGGTGGACCCCTATCTGCACCTCGTCCACGCGGTGCCGTGGAACACGCGGTTCGTTCCGGTTGAACTACCGTGGAAGCACCGGTGGAAGCACCACGCGGTACACCGCGTGCATCGTATGGGGTGGAACACCCCCAAGGATTGCCCTGAGTACCCAGTCAGTGGATAGCCTTTAGCTGTTTTGGGAGATGGGTTTCCCCACTAAAAGCGAACAGTGTTGCAGGGAAACTAAGTGAGTCAGCCTGACTGTCAGCCTATTAAAAGCATCGGTGAACTTAGTGCAGCATAATGATTGGTGGACGAACACCTTGATATGTATTTCTCACAGAAACTTAGGTGTAGAAACCCTGGCACTTGGAGGCCATTGGAGGCCCAATTGTTGGACATGGCAGGTGCATCCAGCTGTTCTTCATGTTCTACTGGGAGAAACAAGGTTTGGAGTCGTAAACTGTAAGTGAGCAAGTGGTGGGAACTGGCCAATTCCCTGCACCGCGACACCGTTTGGATTGAGTTGAATCGAGTTTTGGGAGTCCAACATTTGGGTCGCAGACAATCTCAATGTACGTCTTGAAATGCCCTTGATATCTCGGGGACCTCCGCCTGTTGTGTCCCCATTTTCGTCCATTTCATTTGATGAAGGGCAAAAATTATACCAGAAAGTAAAGAAATGCCTTCGAAACAAGCAGAGCTTCGACACATTGTCATTTGCCTCTTGAAATGTTGAATGCTTGAATTGATTTTTTTCACCTTGTGAACTAACCGTGTTTTACTCCGGTTGTTCCGTGGGTGGTGCGCATGTTTTGTCTTATACTGTTCTTGGGTACATACAAACCCTTAGGTACCCCACATATGTGGAAGGACCTTAAGGGGCGAGGACGGACCGCTCGCAAGTTGGTTTGGTCGCAGACAATCCTTTCAGGTATCCTAACTACCAGATCCCCATGGTCTATGGCCACATATGGCCACTACATCAACAACAATCCATTTCAATGATCTATCCGAATCTATCCTATAGAGATCGATATCTTTTTCCTGTTTATACCCTATAATCAAACACACCTTGGAGCTCCACGTTTTGGTCCGTTTCCGCACCAAAAAGAAACACCCTCCTCCCCACCGTCCTCCGTCCCACCACGCGTGCGGGTTCCGCGCCGCGTGCGGAACGCCTTCCAGGTCGGGCTCCGAGGCCTCGCGCGCGTGGATGCTGCAGCGCAGTCGCTGGACGCAGCACCAGGGCATCGCCTCGGGCGCCACTTTTGCCAAGGAGGTCTGGCTGAGCCACCTCTGCGGCTCGGCGTGGAAGGGGGGAAGAGCGTTGCACGGCCCGGCGCCGGCGGCCGTGGCCGGGAGGCGGAGGTCGCTAATGACGGCTAGAGGAGGTGAACAATAACTATATGGCATAGTCCATGGCATCTATGGCTGTGTGTGAAGGTGTACCTCCCTTTCTCTCTCTGTGGATGCCGTCTGTCTGGATGCTAGGAAGGTGGGTGGATCTTTTGGAAGTCTGGTGGAGTGCACCGCTTCTGTGGGTAGATTTTTGTGATTTTTGGGTGAGGCCAAACATGAGTGGTGTAGACTGGAAGTGAATGGACTTTCTTCAAACCTCTTAGAGTTTGTGGTGCCTTGCCATGCAGAAACGCATCGAAGCCAGAGTGGACGCGTCGTGCGGAATTGGACGTGTCGTTCTGAGGTACGGCGGCCACTCCCACCTGTGTTCCTGTGCCTTGGCTGAAGCCCAAGAGAGTTCCAGATCTGAACTCAACAGTGTTCCATTCTTGCTGACGGGGTGATTCTACAGATTCTATGAACATCAAAGCACCCATCAAAAGCAAGGAACAGACTGGGGAAGCATCTGCATGACTCACAAACCGGCCTCTCAATCATTGAATCATCCTTGCCCTCCAAAGTGGCCCCCAGTCATGTCCAACAGACTGGGAGCAAGACAAGTCGTGACCTGTCACCAGCTGCCAGGATCTTAGCAGTGACCTTAGAACGAGATCTTATAATGAGATATAATGAGGTCACTGACTTCTTGAAAGGCTCACTAAAGCAACTCCCCCAAAGGTCGGACGGTCATTGGGATGGTCACGGAAGGGATCCTGGTGGCCTTCTCAACTCCTCACTGGATCGAGCCACATAAACCATGACCAGGCAGTGTAAGTGACCTTTTCTTTGCAACTCGACCTGAGGATGACAATCCGAAGTGGCGCTGCCACAGTTTTGCGGCCGGCCAGGACAGCCGTCTTTGCGAAAAGGGCCGGAGTTTGTGACGATTTAATCGGGTGGGGTCGCTGGTTCAATGAACCTGAAGGTCCCTATAGATCATGAACTTTCAAGTGAGGGCAAAAATTCTGCGGTTTCGCGATTTGGACACCGCCGACCAGTGCTGCGATTCCCGACGATGAGCCGATGCGCAGGATCAGCAGTGGTGTCGAAGCAACCCGGTGGAAGGCTGCGCCGAGTACAAGGAGTGATTTTGAACGAACACGGATGAAAAGGGACGCATCAAACCCATTTAGAAAGGGCGGTTTGAGGATGTTGGTGCGAGATTGGTGCGAGTGGGGGAATGGGCATGTGGACTCTGGTAGGTAGAGTCCAGTATAGAGTTGGGGGAAAGGGCCAGGATGGTGTTGTTTGGTTCTTTGAATTGCGTGGTGTCTTGAACCTTGGATTTCATTGATGTGGTTGCATTGGAGCACAGACCCGGACGCCCGTGGCAGCGGAGAAGAAGTGCACATGATGCCTGCACTGGGGCGCAACGGTGCGAGACTTTTTGACTGCACCTCATGTCTGGCTGCGGAAAGGACAAGGATGTTGTTGTTGGGATTTGGGATGCAGCATGTTGCAGCCGTCTAGATCTCTCCTTTGGTTACCCCAGAGTTCCCAAATTGCGAAGTAGTTTCGTTGGAGACCTTCAATTCAGAAACATCTTTTCCCCAACGAACCGAGGTCTCCATCAAACATCAACAAACCGTTTAACAAAACGTGTTTTTTAAACTATGCTATTCTCATGTCTGTAGTGAAACGACGGCCTTTATTTAGGCGTTGAATCGGAAGAGCCACCACGCTGTTTCCAACACCACAGGATCCTCGCGCCGCGGCCTCCTCGGGACCGCTGGCCTCCTCGGGCGACCCGTCGCTGACTCCCACCGCTTGCTCCGGTCGCCGACTCCCCACCTATCCCGGCGATAGAAGCCGAGCGGGGAAGGCGCGCGATCAGGAGAACGACCAATCGACGGAGATGTCTGACTGCGGTGGCTGTTCCTGCTGCTCTCGAAAGGCGCGGAAGCTCGAAGGGTTGGACGGAACGCGTGGTTTCGGAAGACGGAAGAGCAAAGAGCGAAGGGGCTTTTTGGAACACGGAACGTCAACTGGAGCCATATTTATGTGCATTTTTGCGGCGGTAAGAATGATCACATTGACATTGATATTCGTGGAGTTACAGTAGCATGTATGTTCAATGGGACCTGGTGAGGTCCGGATTTCCACCAACGGCAGCATGGAGCTGTGGGTTCAAGAAGTGCTCAGCCTGAATGGATGCTTCCCTTTTTGATCCATTTTGATCCAAGCTCCCCAATCGTTTCTGACCACATCTCAGCTGTGACACGTTGGGACACCACGTGGTCCAACGGTGTCCAACGTGTTGCTGTTGCCTGGCTGGACGATCGGTGGAACATGTTCAGCTGGCCCGTGCGACGTGCGAACTGCCTTGTTTCGTTGGGAGATCGATCAAGTGCATATAGTTGGTTGACAAGTAGTGAAGAGATCCTCCAAAGTTGAGGAACTGACTCAATTCAACTGTCAAGTGCAGACTTCATGGGGAACTGAGACTTCTGCATGCCTCAGACTTGTTGTATGTATATATATAGACAGCCAACCAATATGGTACAGACTTGTTTGTGTCTATGTTCCGTTTCTCCGAACCCAGGGGGGGTCGGAGCGCGGTCACTTGAGCCGCTCGACGTCGTGTAAGTAGCCCGTGGGAGGGGCGACCCCGTCGTAGGCTCCACCCCCGGTCGCAGGTGGGCACTGGGGTGGGTGCCAGGGTCGAAACGACCACGCTGCAGGTGTCCTGGGTCGACAGTGGGCCGAATCGCACCTGTTCCTTGGTGAGAACGAGAGCGCGAACGAAGGGCGTCTGCGGAAAACCTCGGGCGTCTAGGCTGGGACCCTTTTGAGACCCTGAACATCAGTTGGAGATAGTTTGAGAGGTTTTTCCGTCTTGAACAGCACAACACTCTGCTCCTTCTAGATATGACACCTGGGTTCAGCAGTGTTTCAAGATCTTTCGATCTGCGGCTTCGGCCCGAAACCCGGCACCGGCACCGTTGTTTGTGGTCCAGAGGAGCGGATTGGTCGCGTGGCGCTTCGGAGCGAACATGCACCCAGCTACCTGCCCGATCGACCCGCTCGACCGCCCAGCGATGTTTCGTGGATAGATTCTGGAGATCAGAGCTAGCGAGGTTGCTGCAAATCAATTGATGTCAGCACTTTTTGTTGCGAATGCTAGGATGCTAGGATTCCGTCCCACAAAAGCAAGTGGCCCAAGGGTCCAAGATGACTTCTCCCCACTTTGAAAGGTGGCAATCAAATGAATTCAACCATTCCTCAGATACACTGAGTGAAGCGAAACACCCAAGACCACGCTATTCTCAGAGGCAGATTCAGTTAGCAGTTAGCTCAATCGATGGCTTGTGAAGCGACTTGGACCGGCGTGTTGGACTATGAAGACAAACCACCACACATCTAATTCTTAATCCCTTTAGCCTCCGGTGCAGCCCCACCCCCCCCGCCATGGCGCTGCTGGTGTGCTGGGCCGGCTCCGGTGAGTGGCTGGCCCAGCTGGACACCGCAGACCTCGAGCTGCACGGCGGTCCCACGGTGCGCGCGGCGAAGGCGTGCCTCAGCGCCCGGGGCCTGGGCTCCCGCTTCCGGCTGCGGCTCTTGCGTGAGGAGACGACGGAGGAGATGGAGGAGGACGAGACCTTGCTGCTGCCCTGCAGCGTGAAGCTGGTGGTCTTGAGTCTTCTGCCAGCTGATGTGGAAGAAGATCACGAGTTTGTTCAACTGTGCAGTGAAGGACGCTTGGAGGAGGTTGAAGGAAGGCTCTTTAGACCACAAGAACCCAACAGTGAGAACAAAGACGGATGGAATGCCTTGCAAATGGCAGCTTGGACCGGACGTGCAGCCGTTGCTCGGATTCTCTTGGAGGCCAAGGCCTGCTGCAATCACGAGAGGCGAGCACGTGGCACCACCCCCTTGCATGCGGCTGCTTGGAATGAACATTTGGAGGTCTTGCGTGTACTGCTGGAGGCCCGAGCCTCATCCGATCCCATCATGGTAGACAAAGGCACGACTCCACTACATTTGGCCGCTTGGAATGGCCAAAGTGAAGCGGCGCGATTGTTGCTAGAGGCGAAGGCCGCTTGTAATCAGGCCATGACAGATGGTGCAACTCCGTTGCATCTGGCGGCTGAGACGGGCCACGAGGCAGTGGTGCGCTTACTGCTGGAGGCCAGAGCTTCTTGCACCCCTTGCAGAGAAGCTGGCAGAACTCCATTCCATCTGGCCGCTCAGAAGGGCCACTTGGAAGTTGTCCGTCTCTTGCTGGAGACGGGCGCCTTCAACCCCACCGGAACAGATGCTGCCAGCGTTTTGGGCTTGGTGCCTGAGAAAGGTCGGGGTGAAGTGCTGCGCCACTTACTTGAGGCTCGAGCCTCATTTGCTGATGGATGAAAAAAGCTGTGCTGAGTTCCAGCGAGTGGAGGCCATCCACAGATGAAGTCAAATCCCACACCCCTTCAGTGACCAAAATAAGGTCCTGTGGTGAGTGGTCCTTTCTTTCAAAGCGCGCGCTCCAAAGGGATCTTACAGCGAAGTATCCGGAGATGATGACCTGCTTGGGGAAGTGCTTTTTCTAGGACGCTGGATTTCACCTCCTTCGAGAGCAATCTTAAGGTTTGTACTGGGGATTCCCTGGAAAATCTGGAGGTGTTTTGGGAACTCTTCTTGGCATTTGAAGATTTAGATATACTAGTATATGGATGTGTATGCTATTAAGATGTATGAAGATTCTGCACGGTTTTAGCTCTTGAAACCCTAAGATCCGGCAACAAATGCTGTTTAGGAGTTGTGACACTCCATCAACTCTGGACGTTGATTGGCTTCTTTGCAATCACAAGGCTGAAATAACAGGGAGACTGGAACGGTGCTTGAAGCGGCCTGTTCCGGTGACAATCTTTTTCAAGGTTTTGTACAGATCTGTGGTGTATAAAGGCCAGGACAACCTCGATTTTGTTAAAGACAAGACTACTCTCGAGCCTGTACAATTACCTAGAACCGGGGTGACCTTTATTGGACCACACGCCACCCCAAAGAATACAGTTTGTTCCCATCCAAACAGAGGTTTGATCTTGTGACTATCTCTAAACCATGAAACACAAGTGCATAATGCTGGAGCTGTTGCCCCTTCCAAGTCCAATCCCGTAAAAACCTTGAGGAAGGAGCCCAGTTGTTTTTCTTGCTTCGCCCTTCTCCAACTCCAAAACCTCGTTCCAGGCTGCATCATCTTCAACGACCTCTTTTTGAACTACACCGTCACTCCAGACCTCTGGCTCTGCAATCAACACAGCAACTTGCCAGGCGGGGCAACCCACTTCATCCCCACCCACCCACTTCATCGGATTCATCGGACGCTTGTGGAATCGAAAGACGACGGCGCGAGGAAGCAGTGATGCACCGGCTCTGGAAACGAGAGAGAGGGAGGTCGTTGAGACTTGGGGCCAATGAGGCCGTTGGCTTGATGTCTGAGGGAGAATGCACCTAGATATGACCTGTTTGGTTTTTGACATGTTTATACCGACCCCTTGTCTTCAAGCACTGTAGGCAAATATGCCGGTCCCATGGACCAAGAAGGTCAGCATTAAACAACATCCATCATCGCAGGTCCGAGGTCACCTCCGAAAGACTCCCAAGCCAATCCGGGTGGGAGATGAATCCACGAAGACTTCTGCCGGTGGAACAGGCATGACCCTGTCATTCCATCATCCATTCCATCCTGGGAATCCTGTTCGAACCGCATGACCCTGTCATTTGCTGTGCCCTTGGGTTCCATCTCCAGAACCTTCCTGTCATCCCCCATCCCGGGGCCCGCGTCGCCGGTTCGTGCCCTACCGGTCTTCGTGGCTTCGTGGCTTCGGGACCCCCCCCAAGCCCTGCTCGGACCACCGCGGCGAGACACCACGACGACCACCACGATGGGGCTCCGGACCTGCAATCCACGACCCACGACCCTAGAGGAGTGCGCGCGCGCGCGTTCCGCGCCGTTCTGCGCCGCGGGGGGCCGTGCGAGCAAAGGCGGTGGCTCGCTCTAGGTGCTCAGGGTTCTGGAGGGTTTTTTTGGTGGGTGAGAAGGTTTTGAGAGGTCACTCTAAGATAGGGCTGAGACTAGGACAATTCTAACAAGTTACAATAGAATTCCCAAAGCCACTGATGTCTGTAGAGGAACATCATGCAAAACTAGATTTCCAGAGGTCCCTGTTGAGGTTCGTTATGCATTCGCTTGACCGATCAGTTGGATTGAACCTCGGATTCTATGCTCATGCGGCGGAACCCTCGATGATCCCCTTTCTTCCCCGTGAACCCTCGGTGGTTCCTTGCCACATAGGAGAATCCCGGGCAGACCATAAGTCATAGCAAATTATAGCTGCACCCTAAATCGCAACCACTTCTTCAACCTGTTGGCTCCTCTGTGACCAATCGGTATTCTAGATCGAGCTCCATTTTTTTTGGGAGTCCCAGCCAGGCCAAACCAATCATGTGTTTGATGATCATGTGGACTCTAGCTGACTGGTGCTTAGTAGGGAATAAGGGAATAAGCCCCCAATAGAGATCCTATTGGATCTATTCCCTCATTCCCTGCGAGTCGCACCAGTCAGCTGTCGAGTCCACGGCTTTCCACCTTCACCGGGTCAGGAGGCTCACATGGCCGGGAGCACGATGGCGTCGCCCTTCTACCTGCACGGTCAGGATGCGCTTTAAGCGCTTCGCTTTTTTCGCGCATCGGCTGTTTCTTGCGGGGCGGGTCGGAAGGAACGGCGCCATGCCGAAGCCGAAGCCGACCGTGAAACGAGGAAACACACCATTGGTGGACCTGGTTTTATGTAAAACATTGTAAAACAAAGGTGCTTCAGGATTCAGAACAGGTAGACATTTTAAACGGTGGTTGGAAACCTCGTTTTCTTTTTTTTTGCGGGGAAGCCTCAAAGTCTGGAATGGCGATACGATTGCCGAACTTGGAAAGTCATCATACTCATTGATGAACAGGGACTCCTAGGGTCGTAGTGTTCAGATATTTGGTTACTTTTCCCTAGGCTTCCAAGACCATTCAAAGAAAGGTTGACCTGGTTGCGTAGTGTAAAATCCTTAGTAAAGCAATGGTGGTTCGGGATTCAGGCCATTAAAACAATGGTTGTTGGAAGCCTAGCGTTTTTATTGCTATTCAACCTTTACTTGGTCGGATTCCGGCCGGATATCTTGGGATGATTGAACCCAAATAGGTTTCAAGTGAGTTGAAAGCGCCAACCACTAATTGATTTGTTGTGGTTCATCCATTCCAACAAGGAGTCACCTGGTCATGCCATTTGGGTCAACGGATTGAAGATCAATATTCATATTTGAACTTGGGGATTCCCACCGGATTCATCCCCCGGTTTTTCACTAGAACTTCTGGCTCTGAACGCCTCGCATGGTGGCATTTCTTCATATTTCTTCATCCCAATGTTTCCCACCTCGGCTTCTCCATACAGAACAGGCCCAGAGGAGGCCTCCTCCCCCCAAACGGCTTGACGGGCGCCATGTGCCATGCATCGCACGTCCCCACCGATGGTTCTTTTTTCGATCCAGGAGGATGCTAAGACCTTGCAGGACTCCTTGGATTGGAGTCGAGAACGCCTCAGCCTCCTGGCCGTACTTCTTTCGGCGGATGCCGCGCACCCGCTCCAACAGGGGGGCGACCCGCTCAACACGCACCGGTGGGCGGCTAGAGGATTTGGTGACCCACAGAAAGACCCCCTGCCCTATCCGGCGTCTTCTCTCAGTCATCGACAGCATCAGCGTTTTCTCTCAGACCCCTTGAACAAAGGGTGAGCCGACCCGGCTCGACTCGAGGATTGGGAAGGGTCATCTATCAGTGGTTTCAGAGGTTCGATGGCGACCGTGGTTTCAGATGTTCTTGACATAGGGGTTCATACCTGGAAACCCAGTCCCAACCAGAAAGACATACTGTTGATGGACAAAATCCTGCACCACTTTGCGCACACTTTTCTTGCTGCCCTCGTTCTCCCTCGTTAACATTGGGGCCACCACAGTGAGAAAACAACAACAAGTTGAAGGTCAAAATCCTGCACCACCTCCTCCAAGGGGTCGCGTCAACATTGAATGAGGGGGCACGGGGGTTGCTACGCGACCCTTCCAGGGTAAAGTGGTGAGGTGGTGCAGGATTTTGTCCATCAACAGTATGGTTCCCCACACAGGTATAAAACCACCGACCATTTGGGGTCTGTGCCATCGAACCTCTCAATCCACATCTTTCAAAAGTCGAAGCATTGATCACCCGGAGTCAGACAGCTGGGGCCAATGCCTCCGTCACCCGATGAGGACATGCCAGTCCTTGAGATGCTAGGGAGTAGACCCTAGGCAGCCACTAGGGATGGCCGACTGAGGGGCGACCCTCAAGGCGGCAGCCTGGACTTCTAACAAAACCGAGGTGCCGGAGAGGAGAATTTCAAGGCTTCGGGCTTCGAGCGACAGAAGTCGCCCAGCAGCTGGGAAGAGGAGGCCCGGACTGCCGTGGACGGGACGCGTGAAGACCACGGAGCAGAAGCGCAAGTGATCGAGGCCGACAGTAGTTACAGAAACAGAACACCATCATGCTGTTCCTCTTGAAGAAGTGACAAGGCTCCGCACAGGGTAGCACTCTAGGTCTGTTCTATTCATAGCCATAGTGCCTGGCATCCATAGTGGCACTCGGTCAGGTGAAACTAGGAGGCTGGGCAAAGAACAGGTGGGGAGACTTTTTCTTCGTCGTCTACTGCCGTCGTTTGTGTTGGCATTTTTGAGGTATGATGCGAAGATAATATATAACGTTAACTATATCACTCCCTTCAGTAGTGCTGGAGTCCAGCCCTGGTTCTCGGCTGCAATTCTGTATTCTGTCGCCATGCCAGGTCTTCTACAGCATTCTTGTGGACCGCTTTGCAAATGGAGACATCACGAACGACAATAGTTCCTCGGCTCGTGCGGACCGTCAGTGCCGTCGGTGACCACTTTCTCCACATGTCGAGCAACGCCACTGGCAACTTTCACATCGAGCAAAGCCACAAGGGGAGGAAAAGGTAGCGTAAGCATGCGTAAGCATAGAGCTGGGTGTCTACCCCTATATGGATCCACATAATACACTCTCAGAGGGGGATTCATGTGTTCGACACTTGTGTTTGCGCAGTCGGAGGTCCGACTGGGGGGGCCCGTTGTATGCTAGGGGGTGATAGATCTGCAAATATTGGTCTCCATTTTGTAATGTACCACGTTCTCACCTGGGAGTTCGAGGAGGGGGTAGCTGATAAGGGACACGTAGCTGCAGATCTGGGGGTGAAGAGCAACGACTCGACTCGAACCGCGGATGGTGTCGTCAAAGGCAACATTCCGGACTTCCAACGCGACCAGCTCAAGAACAAGGAGCCCTGGCCCCTCGGGAGCGGAGGAAAGGCAACGGAACGAGGGGGACGGGGAGAGGGGAGAGCCGAGCGGAGGAGGGGATGGGGGGATACATCGGGATAAAGCACCTGGGTCTTGGTATCAGCTGCTGAAAGGGTGTGGGCTGATTGAACAGCTGTAAAGTAGAGAAACATGAAGTATATCATGAAGTATCAGAAGTGGCTAGACTTGGCTAGACTTTGAGGTTGTTCTTCGCTCCTTATGGATGGTTGAAACATGACTTGGAATAGCTGACACCATGTCTGACTCACTCAGATTGAGTGACTCGGAACCGACACTCGACTCAACACTCGTCGTTGACCCGTCTGAGTCAGTACGCCTCCGCCGCCGTGTCCGCCGACCCTGCCGAGGTCCGTGGCGCGGTGGCGCCATGGCGGAGACCTGCACGGAGTCAAAGCACGCCTCAGCGACTGGGCGCTGTTCCGTGCCGCGTGCGGACGTGCGGACGTGCCGGTGCGGAGCTGGTAGCAGACGGGTAGGAGTTGGCGGGTATAGAGGTATAGGTGCGATGTCAAGGATGCATTGATCTGAGGTAGGAATAATATTTACATAGCTCCAACTGTTGGTGCGCGTGATTTCGAACACTCTTTCGGACCGGCAGAGTACTCTTCAACTGATTTCACCTTCCAAAGCCGTGAACGACTGCCTTGCCTGGATCCTGACTCGTCCTGACTCGCACGACTCACTCGACTCGACTCACGATGGTCCGTTGACCGGTGAGTGGGTGAAGGCTTCATTCCGGTGTAAGACTTGCTTCGTTCCTAGGCTAGGATTCCCGGCCCACCATGGATTCCCGGCCCACCTGAATCCCTGAATCCCAATCAGGCCATGGAATTCCTGGCCCGGACGACTTGGGGTGGAGCCAGTGCCATCATGCGATCTCTATACTCTGAACCCACTGTATTCCAGCATGGAGTGTTTTTTGGGGGCAAACGACTTCAGACTCTTCATGCCAGACGATATTCTGCTTCACTCCCTGGCGTTCTTCAGTTCGTGAGGCTTCTTGGAGTCCCAGACTCTTAAGTGACCTTTTACAGGTTCGATAGTGACCGAACTTCACCCGGGGATGAAGTTCGGTCACTTTGAAGAGCCATGAACCATTATTGTTAGTAAGACTTTTAGACTACAAACCCAGGCCGCCCATGTTTTTAAATGCTCTTCTGCATGCCTCCGGGTCATGCAGACTGAGAGGATGAACGCCTCCCCAGTCTCAGACTGATGACGTTTTCCATGTGGGGGGTCTTATTCATCAGTCAACCCGGGACCGTACACCCCGGTCGAAAGGGTCGACCGGTGGTTCTCCGGATGGCTCGGAAAGCCGACCTTTCCCGAGGGCTCGTGGCAGCTGTAGGGCATGTAGGGCTCGTTCGGGACTTGATAAAGGGCTCCCTTCCACCCCAAAAAGGGCTTATAAGGCCTGGAAGCGCCCATGGTGTGACCCGAATCGAATCAAAGGTTCATTCGTTTTTTTGTTTTTCCACCATTGGAAGCGAGGGCTCGGAGGCCGTTTGCAAGTCCTGGGAGCTGCCGTATATATTCATCAAAGACTGGGAGGTTGAACATCGTTCATGGAGGATAGATGTGCAAGATTCATCGCCATTTTCTGGTGATGATTTGTTCTTTCAAGGCACACCATGAGGCTTCTACAACGAGAATTCTAACCTGGCTTTGGGTGAAATGTTGCAGATCAGGTCTAGCCGCCTCAAAGCTCCAATCCAGAAGACCTTTGGAGAAAACTGCGAGCGCTGCGAGCCCCAATGAACCGCTTTCCATCTACCCATTTGCTCAAGCTCTTGAAAGCAGTGCTCTAAGGTTTAGTGACTTCAGCACAGTGACTTGAGGGTAGATCGCTTTGAGCTAAAAGATGTACCCAACTCTTGACAGACATCGCCAAATGAATCACAGACCCTTTCACCCTTCCTTACGGTCTACCCTGTTCGCAGTCACCGCCGCAGTCAGATTCTATCACTGTTTGGTCAATGGTTCAATCACCGCCCTGAGTCTCCGCAAAATCGTCATCAGCAGTGACAGTTGCAATTTCACATGGAGTTATAGCCAATGTTTGTGCCTTGAAATGTCTTGAACTAGGGAGAATTCCAGCCAAATTCGACCAAGAAGGGATTTTCGCACAACTCCACGAAGGGGTCTCTCCCTCTTCGAGCGATGTTGCTTGGGACGCACCCGCTGCTGCCGTTCCCGCAGCGGCAGGTGGCACTGGAACTGCATGAGAAGGTGAACCCTGCAAGGTGCCGCCCTAAGGTCCTTCCCTTCAGGTCTCTCTACAAAGACCATCTACCAGGGCACACTTGCACACTGGCAAAAGGGGAGGCGTCTTGGAACGTCCTGGTGGTGAATCCACTCGCTCTTTCGTTGGCAAATGGGGCATATTAGTCGGCGGCAGGAGGGCTAATTTTCATCGGCGGTTGGGTGAATCCCCAGCCCTGGACTTTCAAAATCTGGATCCTCACTGCTTGACCTTGACCTTCGAATAGCCTATTTTCTGTTCATTCTGACCTTATTTGATCCCGTGGTTTTGACCTATAGACACATGTCATAGTACACGTTTGCTTTTCAAAAAAATCTCTATATGTAGTTTACATGTCCAAAGAATGGCCACCGAAAAGTCGAACACGGCCATCTTCCCATTCTGTCCAAAGGCGGCCATCTTCCTTTTCCATTCTGAGTTATTGCAATCCAAACCGATGTGCCATCTTCCCATGTCCCACTCCCATCGTCTGTGAGAAGAAGCGCCCCAAGCACGGCAGCTCAGGTGGTGCATCACCTTCACTGATCCTTGGGATGATATATGATCCCTTTCAGGGAACATCCCCTTTCTGGTCATGTTCGGATTTCTTTTGGTTTTTTTCATACCCGGATCTTCCAACTGTGCAGAATTTCTGCCTTTTCATGCATCAAACCCAGCCGAAAGGCAAAACACTTCTGCACAGTTGGAAGATCTCGGTATGAGTCTGTGGGTTCCCCCAGCTTCCTTAAGCCCGGGGAACCCACATCCCCCCCTTTTTTTGTTTCTTTTTTGGGTCTCTCACCGTTGAGTCACCGGTTCCGACCGATCCCTCTGCCCCTGAGTGCCCAGGATCTCAAGTTCTTCCAGTCCGAGGTCCATCGAGCCATCCAATCCCAAAGCTTCCGGACGCTGACCTTCGGTCCGACTGGGCCCAGCCTTTATGCGGTGAATGAGCACTATATCAAACCGGTCACGGCTGCGGCTGGGCACATGAGTTGGGCTTTGATGATGAATCCTGGAGGGCTTGACTGCGATTTGTTTATTACTCATGCCTGGCAGGAAGATGTCTTCGAGTTCACTGAAAAAGTCTTGGCATCCTGGCCGTGGCGTGCGCGACATGCTTGGTGCTGTATGCTTGCAATTCCGCAACATTTGGATATCGCGGCCTTGCTTCGAACACCATCATCGTCTCCTTTTGCCTTTGCCCTGCAGAGTTCCAAGTACATGTTGGTGGTGCCCAACCGGTATACAAGTGTCTATACCAGGTTGTGGTGTGGATACGAAGCCTATTTGGCCTTTCAAAGCAATAAAGTCATCCGGACTGCCACACCTCCGGTTTTGCGCCAAGTCCTTTGTGCTTGGTTCCGGATGCTTCCTGCACTGCTGATTGGCATCGTGGTGGGTTTGGTGACCAGAATGGATCAATTTCGAAGCGCGCTGAAGCTAGTAACCTGGTTGGGCGGATCAGGTGATTTTTCGTTTTCCCTATATGGGTAACCCCCCAAAGCTGGGGAAGATGTTTAACCATTGTCGACCGGTTCCTGGACTATAAATCCAAGGTAATGATTCTCAAAATGCTGGCTCTCTTAGCGAACCTCTTGAGTCAAAACTGCGGTCACATCAGGATTTGCTTGATCGCGAACCATATCGGACTGGCCAGTGGTACTGCAACGGTCCTTGGAAGCAATTTTCAAGCTCGATTTCCGGTCCCTCCTCTCAGCAAGGAGCTCAATCTTGCAGTTGATAGGTATGCAAGGGTTTGCATCGTGCTGTACTTCTTATTGGCTGAAGGTGATCGGGTGAACTGGCGACTTGAAAAGCATGAAGCAGAGGAGCTGCAGAACAACTACCAAGGTTCGCTTCGTCACGCATCATGCTCCTACATCCAAGATGAAGTAAACATTCGCAATGAAATCGGTGGCCACGTTGATGAAGTTGACAAAGTCATTCAAGTCCTGTTGAAAGCCGGGATGTCGTCCGATGTACTTCGAGAAGCTTATTTGCAGGGCGTTCAAGTTCGGCACGCAGGAGTCGTGCAGCTTGCTATTCCTCTCATCGTTCTCGGGCCTCAGCTACTGTTGGGGTGCTGGCATTTGGTTGGGTTCTTATTGCTTTTGCACACAGGGCCAGGGTATGCGACATACGAAGAGGGCTGGCCCAAGCCTGAGCCGCTCTGGTTCATCACATCTTTACAAGCCTCCTCCATCTTTGCCAGAATTGGCTTCATTGCTCTCCTTTGCAGAGGTTCCATCGATGAACGCTGTTTCCTACCAGGTCAAGTGGATTTTTGCTCTTTCATTGTTTTGGTTTGGTTTTCCCACGAAATCTAACGGATGGAACACCAGGTGATATAATCTTTCCCTACAGGTGAAGTCAAGGGCCAGGGTGAAGTCCTGCGTCAGGCTATAGACGGCCTTACAGGGCCCTGTTTAGCCTTTCTGGGGCTTTTCGTTTTGGAGTCCAACGGACCGACTGAATACCATCAGGTTTCATGCTGAACACCATGGCCAAGACCATTGCTCCCATCTTCTTCGTGGAGCTAGGCCTTCTGACCTTCGAGGCGCCGGCAGCCTTCGTGTCCTTGGTGGGAGTCTATCACCTCTCCTTCGTCGTGGTGCTCGCCTTTGCGGCCCTGGGCATTCGTGGCACTCTACGGTTGCCCGGAGGTCGAGCCTCGGAGGGCACGTAGGTCATGCAGTTCCTCGAGGGGAGGCAGGTCTTTCTTGTTTTGGATGCGAGTGATGAATCGGTGCGGTCGTGGTTTTTTTGAAGGTCATTGTTTATCCCGCTCCTGGCCCACCTCCTGAGAAGATGGGCCAGGGGTGGGGTCTAACCTTTTGAGTATATAGTTGGAGCTCTACGATGTCATAGGGGCCCAAAGGGAGGTGTGTGCGCGCGCGCGCGTGGGTGTGTGTGTGTGTGTCTTTTTGGGGCGAACAAGTGGGTGAGCAAAGATGTTGTTGGACATCTCTTGGGATGGTTGCTAGGAGGCAAACCATGCATGCAGTGACATCGAATTCTGGCCCATAAGGTTGCCACGGGAATTCCAGCGGCGCTTGGGTCCTGCATGGCGGTTTTGCGTTAGACTCTCGCAACATCTCGCGAGGGCTAGGGAAGTCAAATGGCTGGTGTGGTTTTTGACCTGGAGGAGAGTTATAGCCCTGGAGGTGAGATCTTCACCTGGAACTCTTCCAGGTGTCCACAAACAGGTTCTATCCCCCTTCACTTGTGGCAAACCTTTTTCGCAGAAAAGTGTTGGGAGCTCCACACCTTCCTGAGGATGCTTGGCGGAGCTCTTCCTGTCGCGCGTCATGAAGTGCGACGGACGCAGCGTCTCCGCGCCGCCCAGCGCCTCCGCCTCCAGCGTCGTCTCCACCTCCGAGGAGCTCAGCCCCTCCGCGTCCGAAGGGTCGGACTCCTCCGGCGAGGAAGAGCAGGGCGAGGCCCACGAGCAGCCGGCGAAGACGAGCCGCCGGCCACTGTGGCCGGGGTGCGGTGGCCGAAAAGAAGGTTGGGCGCTTTGTTGAAGGCTTGGGGCGAGCCATGGGTGTCAGTCAGACCGTGGATCATAGGAGTCGGGTTTGGGGGGAATGAAGCAATCGCAGGTCCAGAAAGGACCTCTGACCTCCCGTGACCCGTGACCCGTGACCCATCTCAAGCTCCAAGCCCTTGGCCGAGACCAGGCGGATTGGCCCTGTGCCATTAATCATTATATAATCTGCAGGATCAACAACAGTATTACATAATATTACATATAGTTTTTGAATAATTATATAGTATCTTACTTTCCCTTTCAGATTTCCTCAAGCAATGGGCACATATGGCTGCCTGCTGAGGATACTTGAGAGACTTGGGGATCACCACGCTGGCTTTGTCTTCCATCTTCTTGGACAGCGCCTGGTTGGAACTGGACTGAGCAACGTGAAAGCTTGGCAAATTCTTGGCGTCTGGCCGTACATGTCCTCCGATCCACCTGCCATCTGCAGAGGGTGAATTTACAATAGCTTATATATGCTTATATTATATAACGATAACATTGTGAGTACTTCCACCCTACAAGTCCAAAGACGACCGCTGAAGTAACAGAAACTCATTTCGGTTTTCTAAAGTAGTATTGAATATTTCTTTCTCATGGTCAATTTGTGTTCTGTACGTTTGCCGGCCGTTTGGCCAAACAGGAGGCCTTTGTGAGGACGTTTTTGGGTCCATGGGTGAACCAAACGATTAGGAATCAAGGTTGCCACCCAGGTCTCATGTTCTTCTTGAGCATATTCTGAAGCCAGGCTTTCTGACGTTGATTTTGCTATCCGAAGATTTGAGCGGAACCCATAAGAGCGTGGAAATCCTTTCAGTAGAAGGACTTCCGGCAGGGAAGTCCTGCATTTTCCGTCATCCTCTGCCGCAGAAATACCGAGGTGCGGGCGAGTACCAGGGCTCCTGTACGACGGTGCGAGGGGGATGTTACGGCGGCCGGGTGGGTTGAATCGTTTTGTGAAACACATTGAATGAACATTCTTAATTGGACCAGACATTCTTTTACATGTTGATTGGAATAAGGAAAGCATCCTTCCAAATGGCTCACCCTTCTTCTAGTGGGACCGCTTGTCATTGGGGCTTTTCGGTTGGACCGAGCCTTGGCATGCGCTGGCAGATCCAGATCGGGGCTGTGCGGTTTGTGCTTCCGGTGGAAGCTTTGATGCTCCAGGTCCAAACACGTCGGGTCCAGCAACTTGTTTCTTTCATCCTTGGACATGTACAGTAGCCGTAGCCAGTTGTTGCCAATGACTGAACATCAAGAGGACATAAGAGCTGGATTACCTACCATCATGATAGCTGAAACATCCTGAGGACAGTATCTTGGAAGGCAGTTTGCGAGCCGTTGGGAGTATTGCCAAGCATACGATTCTTTGGGTGGTTGTCTTGCTGGGCAAAATAGAAGCACACCCTCCAAAATCATTCAGGACGTGATGAACATGTTGGAAGTCTGAGTTGGGAAGGGCACCGGACGTGTTGCAATCTCTTTGACCCCCCCCAACCGTTGCCCCAAAAAGGTACGACAAGGACTCCGGACACAGACCGATTGCCGGATGCTAATCCAGCGCCACTGAGCCTCCATCCCTTCTCGTCCTGGCAGGATCTCACGTCTATTGACCCCAACTTTGGCAATAAGGCCGGAGATCGGCACGTGACACGAAACGGTCAAGTCGAGTCATCGAGACTTGTCGTCTTTGATGCTGGGCTTGTGCTGGGCTTTGCATGGTCTTAGAGTGATGTGGTTCGCCCAACTGAACGAGCTTCAAGGGGCAAAAGCATCCATTTTGGTGCCGTGAAATTATGAACAGCTTTCATGATCTGAAGACCTCCGTCTGAAATGGGTTTGGGTGGGTTGGTGACCCTTGGATGGCTTAGATTTTGGGGGTTGGAGGTCGGCTTCAGGCTCCGGCCAGCTTCTGGAGGTGAGGAGGTGAATGCAGCGGAGAAATTGGATTGCTTTCTTTCTTTCTTGCTTGCTTGCTCATCACTACGTGTTGGTGTGGACTCCAACAACTCACCACGCAGATGATGTGCCTTTTCCCAAAGGTCATGCAGATATGCCCCCTTCCTACCACGGACGGTGCTTTCGATGTTTTCTTAGGTCCATGACTCCAATGACCATGAGAAGTTTGGATGACCACCGAAACATGATCGTTCGCGGGTTTCTTCAGGGCTGAGTCTGTGAGTCTATATAGGAGCTGCTGCGCGAGCTGGTGCATGACGCTCACAGCTTGGGGCTGAAGGTGGTCCTGGACGTGTCACTGGGTGATCCAAGAGGGAAGTGCCAGGTGTGCTGAGGTGATCCCTATATAAAACTTCTACACTCCGACACCTGTTTGAAAAGGAAAGTTGTTCTTTGATAATTTCAAGCTATTTCAAGGAACCGTGTCCATCCATTTTTCACATACATGTTAGTGAGTCAGAGTGTAAAACACAGGCATTCACCAACCAACAAGGCCGTTTCGTTCTTCCACTCGCTTTCTGACCCGTCTTTATCACGAAGTGATCCACGCCGCGCTTGGCGCGGGGTCCGGAGCAAATACGCAGGATCCACGACCCACGAAGTGATCCAACCAGGACTCGAAGTTGGGGTGATGAATCGACGTCTCCGAATCTCCTCTATACCCGGATGGGCTCCTGGCCCACGTCAGTCTTCGCGGAAGTCTGCAGAAGTTTTGCCTCCGCCCAGCCTTTTGACTATAGAGAATTGAGACTTGCTTCAGTGTCAAACCCCACAAATCCCCTGCTTCATCCGCAAGCTCAGTGGCAAAACCCAAAGCGAAGTGATCAGATCCGCGAGAACCATGTGGTCCAAACGGTCGCCTACGCAGCGAGCCGTTCCGTTCGTCACCGCGACCGGTCCACCGGCCTTTTCGGGTCCATCGTTCCTGGCAGGGGTGGGTGCCAGCAGGGTCCAACCACCGAACCTGAGGATATAGTTGGAGCCCTAGGGATATAAGGCGCCTATTCATAGACCCTCCATCACATGAGGGCTCGAAAGGCACATGTCCTAGCATTTCAGTCGGGGCTCGAAGAAATCCGGCCTTCTCGGCATAGCAGGGGATGACCCCACATGTCTGAAAACGCAGAGATTCAGACATTTTTCGCACATGTAAACGCATGCATGTAAAACCATCCCCCAAAAAGACCTTCTGGAATCACTGGAATCAGCAGAGAACGAACTCAGAGAACCGATGCCGGAAGTTCGGCCGAATCTGCCGAGGACGGAGGACGGGAGACGGAGGTTCCACGGAAGGGCACGACATCCGCCGGTCATGGATGGCTTTGAAATGCTTTTAACTATTTAGTTTGGTTTGAATAGATGGGATACCCCCAAAGCAAGTGGTATAAGCAATAGGTATATATGGTACCTCCATGGCATCGACGCTTCTATTGTTCCCCCCCAACATGTTTATCCTTGCTGTCTATTCTTGAGTTGTCTTAGACACTGCCACCTGAGGCAAGTGAACCACGCCTGTGGGAAGGGCTTGAAGTACTTGGGCTCCAACAACAACGTGGACGGCGTGAACCTCTGTGTCCAATCGCCGCTTGCTGTGTAATGTTTCTTTTTTTCCAGTGAGGGGAGGTGTGAAGCAGATCATAGAAAGAGTGGATTGGGGGGCTGGTAGCCAGTGAATTGAAAGGCCATGATCTATCAGGAAATCTGGTTTTCGAGGTCTGCTGTTTTCCGCTCCGTTGTGAATAAGTCTCTATAGACGCCGGTCTTGTTCTGAGTACTAACCAAGCATAAGCACTCGCAAGTCGTCATGGCAAATCTAACCCCCCACTCTCACGGGGTCATGAATAGATGATAGTCCTTGGGCAACCCACCCTGGTATCAGTGGACCAGATCCATGTTTGGGTGGAGGCATATTCGAATCCCAGTTTCTCTTTCCATACAGCACGCTGTGTCTTTCATTTGCCAAATGGGACGACCCCGAAATCTGTTAGAACATGAGAAAACCACGGAGCATCATGGCAGATCTGCTTTGGGGTGGACACTGGGGTGGACACCATGCGGCTTCGCCGCCGGATGCCGCCGGGCGCCCGGCACGAGGTCTGTGCAGACCTATTGGACCAAAGAGCGTGGCGGCAATTTGAACGAATACGTCCGTGCCTGGGATGACCAATCCTGGCAGACTTGATATCCCTATAGGGATCCACGTACCGAACCTCAGAAGGTACGACTCGGCCCTCCAAGCCCCTACATCAATAGTCTCCAATCTCACCGTACATGAGGTTCGGTACGACTGGATCTCTACCGGGTATATGATCGTTGTGGATGGTTTGAAATCAGTGGCGACCAAGGACGACGTTGGGCCGTTGGATTTCCTCGGTCGTCGAGTCGTACTGGTTCCGATCGGTTGCGCAGATCGGTCCGGTGCCATGTGACGGACCATGGTATCTTGGGGACTTCTGGCTTTCAAAGTTACTGCAGGCTTGCCCCCAGTGCCTTTTTTCACTGCCAGCAAAAGCACAATGCTGTGATGTGAGACGAAGATAGACGAAGTGTATGCCCATCTACCATGTCGAAAGTGAACAGGCATTCCTGTCAGAGGTGTGGATCTTGAACAAGCCCACGGTTGATTCAGACCCTTTTGGAGGATTTGTGTATGGCCTTCACCATTAAACCCCATACTGCAGTAGCGTAAAGAACACTGACATTGGCTGTCTAGCTCAAGTAGGGAGACCGAACTTAGGGCGTCTCAACGCCCTAAGTTCGGTAGTTTGGACATCGAGAAAGGGTGTCTCCCTAACTATCTACACCGGTGACTGTTCTTCTTCTCGGATGCCAGTCCGCTGATCGGCCGCACCGGGCCTCGCTCCTTCTCGTGTCTCACCGCGGCGCGCACCGGGCCTCCAGGTGGCCGACTGGGCTTTGGCGATGCGCTCCCCGCTTTCCTCCGGCCACCCGGCTACGGCGCTGGCGTGTTGGGCAAGGTGTTCGAGGTGTCGAGGGTCGACGGTCATACGATGGGACCCCGGTGGTGGGATAGACCCAGTTTATGCAGGTGTTCATCCACTCCAAGTTACAGGTGTTGGGGGATAGGAACACAAGTTTTTAACTGTTTTTTTGAACATTCGCTGACACCAGCTCATCTTATGGGCTTTGGGTTCCGTTTTGGAATCCCTTTGGGCCTGGTCGCATACCACCCATCCAAAGGGGGAAAGATAAGATCCTGAAGGAAGGTGTCAGTTCACCAAGTTTTTAGAGATAAGAACCGCGGTCTTGATGGCTGTCTAGTCCCCCTTCATGGCTGTCTAGTCTAGTCAGTCCAAAGATTTCTGGTTAGCGGAACTCCGCAGGAATGATGCCACCGTGTCCAGGGAGCTGTTGATTGAAATGGTCAGAAACGGACGTTCGTCCTTCAGTTGACCATATTTGGTTAGCAGTCCAAGCATGTTTATGTCACCATTTTGGCTACCATGTTCAGTTGAGCATCCATGTCAGGAAGACTATGCCAGCGTCTCTGTGCCAAGACACACTGCAGCTGAAGACTGCAGCTGATCTGATCCCTGAGGCACCAGTCCTTCTTCCTCCGGTGCGGCTCCGCGAAGCTCTATAGGCGCGAGAAGAGACCTTCAGTTGAGAACCCCCAGGGTTCCAGTAGTAACACCTCCTCAGGTTCGGTATGATTGGACCCTCTAAAGCCGCCCACCCCAGTCCCACCGAACCGAAACCAAGGTACGACTGGAGCCTGGTCCGGGGAAGGAAACCGACGGACCAACTCGGGGCCTCAGAGCCTCTCATGGTCGACGCACTGAAGTGCAGCAATAGCTCGTTGTGGGCAACGAAGAGGTTTCTGCTATGGTGTAGAAAATGAACGCCCACTACCCCAAAAAGGGATCATGCCAAAGACATGGATTTCTAACATCTAACATCTAACACAAATTCATGGCGTTTTCCTGCTGTTTCTTTTAAAAGAACATAAAGGACCCACTCCACCTGTTCCTTTTAATGTCCGGTCCACCCGCACCCGCCCAGGCCGGATGGCAAGGACTTCACCAAGCTGCCGCCGGAGAATGCCACCGCCATCGAAGGAGGGCTGTCGCTGAGCGGAAGGAGGACGTGCTGTCGGTTGGATGGGAAAAATAACTAGAACGTACAGTAAATGAATGATAGAACATGTTTTGTCAATGTGTTCTTTTTGTTGACACAAAGCTATTATTCGTTGTCTTTTGTTGCTCTGTTTGAACATGTTCTTTGTTTTCGTATTCGACAAAGTAAGGACGTGTTGGCATCATGGTGTTTTTTGATAGCAAGAGAGTAGTAGTATTTGTGCACGTTATATGTTTGTTTAGTGAATGGACCTTCTCATAGGGTGTTCGAGAAGACATCAATGATGCCCTAGAAGGAGTTGACTTGTTTAGAAGAGTTCTTTGGAGTTTTATGCCCTTGTCCTTATCCTTTCACTAACCCCTTTGCTTGTCACACTAACTTGTTGCAGGTAGGACATAGGCAATTCACTCCAAACAGTATACATACAATACCATCAGAAACCATCCCAGCTGAAATCAACACTTTGAGCCGCAATCCTTGAGACGAAGAAGCCCCAACACTACAGCGAAGAAAGCCAAGCGAAGATTGACTCTCGTTTTTCTGAGGCTCTTCCCCGAGATCTTTCAGGCCTGGAGGGCGGATCTTGACAATAGAGGAAGAAGACGTGATATCTTCCAAAAGGGTGGCTTGCAACTTGTACGATTGGTTCTGGAAGGTATTGGTGTCCGCAATGATTGCCATTGATGTGAACTGTGATACGATATATCGAACATCTCAAACCAATTGAGTGCTGCACCACTAGCATGTTTTGCATGCTTTGCATTCACTCGGCTTGTCAGTCATTGTTAATACTCCCTCTCAGTGTCACCTTTCACATCATTTGGGTACACGGCTCTTGCATACGCTGCTCCTTAACCACAAACTGAAAAACGTCGTCATTCTGAAAACGTCGATGCACAGCAGTGCGATGAAGGATGATTACTTCGAGCTGAACACCATGGATCCAGTGCTTCAGGAACTCTACACTAACATGCTCAAGATCCTTGGCAGTTGAAACCCGCACCTCCATACAAACCTGACTGCGCAGATGGGTCGAGTCCTACAAACACATGGATCTAGTAGAAGGGGAAGCTCGGGGCTGAAGGGAGTAACGGCTTTTGTGCGGTTCTGGACCTAAAAAGAAAACGCGACGTTGACTTCGCCGAAGCTCTGCGTGATTCCAACTGCTGGATCTTGTGGATCGTCGTCCCCGTACAAAAGGATCATTTGCTTATTTGAAGCCATGTGATGGTTTAGCGGCAGAAAAAACAACATCCACCAGAATGGGCTGGCGCCCAAACCGACCCCTTCGTCCCTCTGTCGCCGTCATGGCCGTCCGACTCCGACTCCAAGACATCACGCCGGTCGCGACCACCGTCGCGGCGTGGCCGCAGAGGTACTGGATCGCGGAGGCGGACGTGGACGGCTACCGCATCACCGCCGCCAGCCACGTCACGGCGGACTTCACGGTGCCTGGGCCGGGCCGTTCCGGAGAGAACTGGATTCGACGATTTTTGGCACCACTTAAGTAGAGGACATTCCTTTTCGGATCACCTATAGTCAGAGTGTTTTGAACATGGTCTTGTCAAGCCATCGGTCTTTGGTTGGCCTAGGGCCAAGCCATCGGACCTAGCTTCCAAGTGGCTGTCCTGAGGCATACCTCTCCACGCACTTGCGCTTCTATGCCACTGCCCTGGGAAAGGAGAACTTCTTCATCGTGGGTGAAGTGAACCAGGCGGCCGCCCTGGTTAGTTGTGGGAGCTGGTAGCCGCTGCTCGTGGACGCTTTCAGTTCCTCTTGTTTTTCGAATCAAAAGAAGCAAGGGCAACCTGGTTCTTCAAAGTGACCGCACGTGATATCCCAGTTTGAGGTCACCAAAGGCCCTGTAAAAGGTCACTTAGTAAGGCACTCCAAAGAGGTCACTTTGAAGAAGCTGGAAGATGAGATGAGATGACTTGGACCTCCAATCCTCATCAATCCTCCAACTCCTGCAGATCGCCCGATCAGTGACAGGTGACGCAACCGATTCTGTCCCGTCGGTTGCGTGTTCTGTTGCGTTTGGTGAACGCTTTGAGCGGTCCAACCGGGTTTGAGCGGTCCTGACCGAGGCGAACACTCCCTTTGGCGGGAGCTATCTGGGCCGTGTGCAGGGCAACATGGGGCCGAAGTACTTACCCAAGAGCCTTGGATCGCTCCAGCTCCGCGAGCGCGGAAGATGGGGCTCGAGGCGGTGGGGCCAGTGCGCAGCGAGGCGAGCGACCGCGAAGCTCCGTCGTGGTGCGGACGTTGCATCCGGATGTCCGGGGCAATTTCGAAAGGAGTTCCCTCACAACTACTTGATTTTTGTCCTCAAAAGAACATGAACAGATGTTCCCAATTGGTGTTTCTGTGTCAGTTGCCTGTGATTTTTCATCCCAACTTCTTTCCCCCACAGGCGGGGGTGGTGTGGGTCGACCCACAGGCGGGAAACCGGTCGGTCCGGTCGTGGTGTCGGAAGGTCGACCAGACCTGGAGGGTTCAATGACCCAAAACGGGGAACCCCCCAAACCTCCTGGAGAGCCTCTCCTTTGTTGTTTTAAGCTGCAGTTTGGACCAGAGGTGATACGCAACATAGCCATACAGAGCCTGTTTTACTGCAAGAAAGCTGCCACGGAATGAATGTTGGAACTTGATCTACTAAGATTCACCAGCACTCACCTGCCAGCGTTCACTTGCCTTCTTTCTCAGGAAAGTGCAGGGCGTCTTGGAGGAGCTTTGCCCGCCACTGGGCAGATATGGAACTGCGAAGTGGATATACCCAACACGTAGAATATGATACAAGCTATACATCGTAAGTAGGCCATGCGCTCTCCCACTGCGTGGTCAAGAAAGGTGCTGGATGCTCCTCTCTTTGGATTGTTTGCTTGCAAGCCAGAGCACACAGGAAACCTCAAGGAGGTCAACCTACCAGAAAACGGGCTTCCGGTTTCGGCGTCATGACGATCAGATACGAACAGACACAGATGTTGAGTTTCCCTGAAGCACAGCGCACACACGAAAACAAACACGAGAAATATATGTTTTCAACTGGACACCTACGCACGTGGGTGGTTGATGGACATCCCTTGCCACTCCGACTTTTTTCATGATGAAACTAGGACAACGACCACGTCCATCTGCCGTCCTGGCTCCTTTCGGCTCAGCAGCCTGAGCAGTCTGAGGTACTACAGCGCGTTGTCGGATCAACAGCCTGGCTTCCTCTCCAGCTCTTGGACCGACATGGGATCCCAGTCCCCGAGTCTTCCCGAGTCCCAGGGCCGTGTGAGGGGTCTTCCATCGACACCCCGACCGTCCCTCACTTCTTTTCGGTGGCTCTTGTCAGACGCTCCCAAGCCCACGGGGTCCTGGTACTTCTTCGGCATCGAAGTCGCGACCCACATCCCCCCCTTCAGGCCTTGGTTCCGTAGCTACGGGGGGGTTCTTGAGACGAGCTCTGGCACGGGGCTACGACGAGCTCTGGAATCATCAACACACGACGGACGGATGAAACGGACGGGGCGGGGTGACTGGACTTTTGATCCGCAGACCGATGTGTTCAACCGATGTGAAGCGTACCATGCTGAAGTGAAATCGCTTCGCAGAAGGTGTTCCTGTGTTTCAGGAAGGAAACTCCGTAGCCATCAGTCGTCCGGGTGGGTTATACTCCCGAGAACTAACATAGACCCTGACTGTCTGGCTCCCTGGAAGAGTGTTTTCCTCTACCAACCAGTGGTTTTCAGGGTCCATGTTAGGCCCTGTTAGGCTTCCAGGGTGGGTTAAAGGTAGTGTCAACGCACCGCTCCCTTTGATGGAGCATGCCTTCCTTCATGCATGTCGTTGAAGGAAAGAATGCTCCAGTGATCAAGAACACGTCTTCCATGGCCATTTTATGGTCCATTTGGGGTGTTCTTCTGGGCACCCAGAACGGTCCAAGATCCTGTGATCCACTCGAACCATGGGTGGAGGAACCATTCAATCCATACTTGTTATGTTTATGGTATGCCTTCTGTGTGGGTCACGGACATCGTGCCTTTTGGCCAGAAAACACAAATGGGAAGATGAGAGCAGAATGTCAGGGAAGTGTTTCCCTCTTTTTCCTCGTTGGAGAAGTCCTTTCAACCCATCAAACCTTCTGGTTGAGTGCTGAAGATTCCCAGCAAAAGTGGGAGGATCTTCAAAGCACTTGTTCACGCTGTTGCCCTCCCCTCGTGGGACCTGAGTTGTCAGCCCAGACTCTACGCTGTTCATGCCGCGAGCGCTGCGCTCATCTCAGGTTATCCCTTGCAAGAGGTCTACCACGTGCGCGAGAGCGTCTTGGGCTATGTGGACGTGGCTCGGATGGAAGTGCTTGGAGACGTGAATCAATTTCGAAAGAAAAGGACTTTGAGGGTCAAGGTCCACATTCCCCATCCAAGTATCACTAAGTAGTGGCTGACCCCTCCATGATAATATGGGGACTCTATCCACACCTTCCAGCTCATCACAGCCACCGTTCCATGTTCGACCCACGAAACGTACACAAAAACTATATCTCCTCCACCTTGCTCTCGCTCAACCCTCTCCATCTGTACCACCCTTCGCTGCAAGACCTCCCTATCTGCACCGTCCCTTCGCCGCTCCGTCCCTTTCGACTTCCGCCGAGCCCGCGGAGCCCGGCGGAGGCGATGGGCCTCTACAAGAGCTACGCGCAGAAGGCGGTGAACCGCTCGCGGGAGGCGTTGGAGTCACAGGGACAGATCCGCCTGGCCTTGAACGCCGTGGAGCCGCCCTGAACGAAAAGGGCGGGCACTGGAGGGGGAGGAGGTGAGAGACATCTGGGTAGTAACCTATAGAACCTGGTCATGACCTCCGGACCACCAACCACCCCAAGATATGGCCAAAGTTCCTCAAAACAGGGGTCAGTTGGGTTCCAGGAACTGGTAATATTGGTGGATGGGTCTATAGGCTGGTTGGATGGGGAGCTGGGAGAACTCGCAGTATGTGTTGCACACCGTTGCAGGGGTCAGATCGGAGGAGGGAGTGGTGATTGGATCAAAAACCTTGGAGCCGCTGCCAGTCACATGTCGTGGGCGAAGGACCGATACCAGGTAGGTTAGATGGTTAAATGGTCGTTAGAAAGTTGGAACCCGATTCGCATTCCGGTCTTTGTTTAGACCTGGAGCTGTTTGACGTAGAGGCTGGTTGTGGTCTGAGATCCATGCAGATTGCTTTGCACGTGTTTGCTTCGCAAGTTTCAATCTCTCTCGAGTCCCCTGGGCTGAGCTATAGGATGCGGAGCTGCGGAGCCCACGGCACGGCCAAGGTCCAAGAATTTCCGGAAGCTTCTGAGCAACCCCAGCCAGGTGCAGCACGACATGGCATGGGGCGTACAGTTTCTTTTTTCCTTGGTATACGTCATATTGCAAGCTCATGAAGGGGAGGCGAAAAGGCATTTGAGATCTTTGGAATATTCGGCTCTGATATCATATGTGAGGGTCCAGTAGATACTCCAAGAAACATGTAGCCTGGTAGACAGTGTAGACAGTTGATTAACAACCCCCCATATGGAATCATATATAATATATAGATATCATAGATATCGGCTTTACAATCCATGTTTGGATTGATGAATCAGCAGTCTACAGGTAATTATTACAGGGCCGGGCAGTTATTCTTTGGCCGAAACGTGCTCTTTGGCAAGTGAATTCCGTCCCGCCTGACAGACATGGGAGGGTTGTTACGCGTAGATGCGTTTGAACACTAATATGCATATCGTACTCTCCGGGTTTGTCTCCAACCTTTGGTTCCGGAAAAAGGGGAAACCTCCAGTGATTGACCCTCCCAACGCCCAGCATCTAAGCGAGTGGCCGCGTTTACAGGGCCACGAGCTCTGGCGCTTGATGGTGGCCATGGCTTGGAGCTTCACTTGGCACCTTGGAATGGGCGTGCATGTGTAGACTGCGTAGACCAGCCAATCCCGCATCGACTGGGTCCATCCCAAGAGCGTTTGCGTGGTCAGCGCTCTAGAAGGGCCACTGTCCTCAGGAAAGTCCAGGCGGCTATATATGTTGTTTGCATACACAAGCAAAAACGGGACATCTAAGCAAACACGGCTACCAGTCTCCACTGAACCGGCTACAAGCCACCCCCTATATAGGAAGCCGTCAAGATAGACGTCGACATATGATATCATACGATGAAATGTGATGAAATGTGATCATGTGTAGGAGATGGTTTCTGTTTGATTCTACAAGCAAATGTTTGCTTCATCCATTCCCAAGACCAAGACCCGTTGAAAAGAACGATTCCCATCACCTCACAACCCGGACTGACGGCCGTCGCGGATGTTCATCGCATTTGTGTTCAGGTATGGCATCCCGGATCTGGCCCAGGGCACGGAACAAGGCCTCAATGGGCTATGCTACCGGAACGACCAGGCACAGATGGGTCAGCGCTCATGTTGGCGCCGGCCCAGGCGTGGGAGACAAGAAGTGTAGGATCTTCAAGTTGGAGAAGACCTAGGTGCGTCATACCTTGAAAGCATCTAGTGGTTTGTGGTAGTGATAGTCGGAGTAGTCGTAGTAGTAGTAGTAGTAGTAGTAGTAGTAGTAGTCGTAGTAGAAGAGCAGTCGTCGTCGTGGTGGTAGTGTGTATATAATGTAGGTTCATTTTTTACATCTTGCTACCCACAGGATTTTGCAGGAATTGCCACACATACTTGGCACATGGCAAGCATTCATCCAATCTTCCGGTAAATCCGTCTAGTAAAAGCCGCTTGACCTCGTATGACCCTGACCTTTCAAACAAATCACGCATGGGTTCCGCGGACCAAAAATACGACTTGCTTCGAAGGCTTTTGTCGGAGGTTCTGATGACTGGAGTTGCGTGTTGCCGCCCCGTCCCCACTGGAGTTGCGAGAACGGCGCTTCTCTCCTCCGCGCTCGCGCGCGGCACGCGGGTTCCGCGGAGCTGCAGGAGCGGGAAGATCTGCAGAAGAAGATGGAAGATCAGGGCATCGAAGGCCCTGGACAGAAAAACGGAACTGGTTTCCAGAAGAGCCAATTTGAACCTGATGTTGCCCATAAAAGTCTAGGAGTCTACCATGAATCACCATCACCCTAGTTTCCCCTCCTGATCCCAGATCATCCATGGGACTGGACATGTTTGGAATATGCGCCACAATGTTGGTAAAGTCCAGTCCCATGGATGGTCTGGGAATTACATCACATGGACGTTTTTTGTTTTATTGTTTTCTTGGCGGTGTTCAACAACCGTGAACATCGTCTTCCAATGCTGTATCACTTGAACATCCCTCTCAAAAGCACACAGCTGGGCGTAGAGTTGGTTCGAGAAGCTAGTGAAAAATAATGAGATGTTCGCCCGCTTGGCAAGGCAAAGTGGTCACCATGATTATGGAAGAGTGCAATTACCAGGCAGCGGGATGCGGAGGGACTACTTGGCAGGCTGCTAGCTGAGTCTGGCGTAGCTACATATTTCATCGATGGACTGTCTTGGTGACACATTTCCGACATTCTGCATGTGACAAGTGGATCCTTTGCTATATCAGGCAGTAGACCGTTGATGAAGACTATCCGCCATCTAGATACTAAGTTGTTTGCCATCAATGTCTGGGGACGGGGGTTATATATGAATCGATCTATCGTCGACATGGATAGTTCATCCGTTCTCAAGGATCCCTATGGATCCCCCAAGTGGATTTCTTTAAGGGAACCGCAGAACCGCAATTCCACTCCCTCACCGGGCTGGGGGCTTCCGATTCACCGTGGCTACGGAGTAGTCTCGGAGCAACGTTCAGGGGGGATAGCTCGGATAGGTCGTGTCGTAGGGTGTGTTTTTTTCGTGGTCTCCAAATAGGTTAACAAAAAAACCACCGTTTCCAAGACCTGTTGAGTGGGGATCTACGAACTTCTATGACACGGGGTCCAAAGAAGCCCCCGGCTTTGGGGGTCGAGACATCTCTTTGTTCTTCGCATGTCGGCAAGCCACCGCCTGATTACTATGATCATCCACTGGGACCAGCCGTGCGTTTCGGACACATCATAGAAATCACCCACGTTAAGAACAGTGGGTGGTGGTTTCGGATATTTTTCTATTCAACCTGCTCTTGAGATGATTGACCCTCCCACTGACAACACATATTCTCTATATCTGTGGGTTGAAAATCATCCAACCAGGTATTATGGCAATGAAGGCTCCAGGTCTTCATCCACTTACGTTCGCCTGCTTCTTTCTTGGGCCATCCAGCACGCTCAGCCTCAGCCTGTTGGGTCTGCCAGGTCCTGGGAGCCCAAACGGATAGCGGCTTTTGGCACCAGGAGACGGGCCGATGTGAGACGTGGTGGGACGGGTCGAAGCAAACCGGAGCCGTCCGACTGGAAGGTGACTGGGACCGAGGGCAGGGTGGGGGGGGTCCTTGACTGGAGCAAGCCACTGGTTTTCTGGGATCGGTGTGGATGAGTTGGATAGAGTGACCAACAGCCTACAAGTGTTTTTTCATACCAGGATCATCTTGTTTGGGTGTCCAATAGACTACCCTACTTATAGGCCTCTACTTATAGGCACCCATTGGGAGTGCTAGGTAGGTGATGTTGGATGAGTTGCTTTTGGATAGGTGACTTGAGTGACGTGAGGGGCACAAATTCGGAGACGGAGAAAAAACCAGCTTGGAGATGTTGTAGACTCCTATCTCGATATGCACATGTGGACCTTGCTGGTGGACCTAGCCGTCAGTTGCGGGTAGTCCATGATTGCGGGTAGTCCAGGCCAAATGATGCGAAACGGAAGGATAGTGGGTTGTATGAGGTTGTACTGTAGCTGCCCTTAAGATATCTTGGGATCACAAGCTACACTCCCTGGCATCATCATGGAACGCTAGGGATCCGGTCGTACCGTACCTCACAAGGTACCACAGGACCCTCCGGCACCTGAATGACAGTGTCGAACACATCACCTAACCTGAGAAGGTACTTGGATCCCTATAGGGGAATTTGGAATAAACACATTGAACAAAACATGAAACATATTGAAACGCCACCTATATTTGTATTTAATTTGTGGAACATGGTCCTCCAAGTGGGCATGTGTCCATCTTCAACCAAGCTTCTGCCGTCTCACAGGCCTCGGGCTAGAGGGCTTGTTTCACATGGAAGACATGCCCTGGAGAACGAGCAAGGACAGAAGCCTCTTCACCAAACATGGTGGCCTACTTCCCTCCAACAAACAGGGTGCTTCCCATTTGGCAGGTCGATCTGCCCAGGCTTTTTCCGGGGCTCCACCTCTGGTGGTCCAGGTTTGGAAGGGTCCTGGAGGTGCAGAAATAGCAGGTAGACCTCCCAGTTCGACCCCCCTCGGAGCTTTCCTCGACCAGCCATGGAATCCCCGCGGGGGTCCCGTACTTTCGATGTCAAAGACCCTCGACAATGTGACTTACAATTCTTGACGCCCCAAAACCAAGGGTCGGGAAACCTGTCACACACCCGGAGATGAAGAAACCTCCTCGCAGGATAGCTTCCAGGGTGGGCCGCTTCGCCTGGGCTCTGCCGTGGCTGGCGTCAACGACCAGGCATGGATGTGTGTTTTTCGGGGGTGTGCGGTTCCGTTCCAAATCCCGTGATTTTCACCTCCTCGACAGGTCGGCGACATTTGTGACCATGCTTAGATTTTGAGGGATCTCAACTTTGGGCTTTGACGTACAGTCCACTTCATGCTGGATACTTGGTCATTTGGCCGAAGCAGGTCATTTTGAGACTATACCGCAGATAGATCGTTCCTCACTTCTGTCCTCTTCCAGCTCCAGCTTGTTCGTGCCACTTTTCATGGTGGACCTGCGGGTCAACTCTCTCAACTCTCCCACCTCCGTGGCCGCGCCCCGCGGAGCCGCGTGGCGCTACGCGCCACCCGCCACCAACGCAACCCGTAGCTGCGTGTCTGCGCGTCAGCGCGCGTCGGGTGATGCTCGGCCAGATGGGCATTTTGGATCATCTGATGGGCGCCGCAGGGCCCCACTGGTGTGAAGACCCGGTGCTCGACCGCGACAACGAGGCGGAGCGGGCGGAGCGGATTTGGTGCGGGGTGCGGGGTTTCGGGGTGTGGGGACGGGGGGTGGGGAGGGTGGAGGGAAAGGACCTTAGAGGAATCATTCGTTGGAATCGAAGGATGAGAAGTTGGAGATCATTCATTCCACCTTTGTCCACTCAAACTGCGGTCCAAACTCTGTCGAGTCCGCTGTGGAATCTCATGTCTGAGAAAATCAACAAGTTCACTGAAGCACTCTCAGGGATTAGGATCTGGCAGCCTTTGCCAACTCAGCTGGCAACTCGTCACTTCCTCATCGAGATCACGGACCCACGGTTCACTGGTTCACGTGGAGGTTCACTCACTGCTTCGGAGTTCGCAACATGGTCGTCATGCGGGGCTTATGTTCATCTATCCCAGACCATCCATGGGACTGGAATGGTCACTGACATTTGCCTCATGAAAATGAATGAACATGACCATACATGACCCCAATCCCATGGAGTGTTTGGGTATGTGTCCACTTCCATCATGGAGCCTTGGGACCCCCACGCACTGAGACACCCCGTCTCAGACACAGCGCGGTCTCACCACGTCCCCTGCACGAGGCCTATCGCATGGCACAAGCCCTGATCCGTTAGGGGCTGAGGAGTACTGCAGGCAGAACATTCGTTCGACTAGAGCAGGCCAGGGTGTTTATGTTTGAGTAAGCACACAAAATTAACACAGTGAGTAGTGAACCTTAAAGTGCAGTATGCAGTATATCAGATCGTTTGGATCTGAACCCATCAACAGAATGCCGTTTCACCTTCCTGGTGGGGGAGTTTTTCCCCTAACCCTTCATCTCTCGACTCGGCTCGTACCTTCATCTCTCGACCGACTCACCACCTCCGGCGCACGCACCAAGGCATCCGACGCTCCTGCTACGCGCTCCGCACGCAGCTGGATTCCCCGGCCCCGACGGGCGAGGGACGCGCCACGTCGGGGCCGCCCAGGATGGCGCGGTCAACGGCGGGAGAAGCGGTGAAGGGCTGGGAAGATGGATTTGGTAGTCTATAGTATAATACCTTTCACGTGTTTCTGGCCGGGTGTTAGGTTCTTTTTGGGGGGGGGCCAACCTTCTGGAACAGGGTTGGAAGGTTGGAGAGATCGTATGAGCAAATATGAACAACATCACGTGTGTTGAACAACATCACATCCGCTGGGTGTGCCAATCCAAGTGAGCCCCCCCCCAAAAAAAGACAATCTAGACGACGAGTGGCCCGAAAGCATTTGTCATCACGTATGAAGTCAGAGTGTGAGTTATGTGTTAAGTGTTCAGTGTGAAGTGTTAAGTCGAGTGAGTTGAGGCAGTGTGTGGGTTTCTGTGTGTGTGTGTGTATCTATGTGTGTATCTGCGTCTATGTCTCTGCACAGGTGAGGGGCTATAGACGTCGATGCGCAGATGATACGACAGCACAACAGTCTCATCAGCGCCCACCTCTTGGTGTCTTTCTCGCTGTGTCAGCATAACGCTGAATAGGTCCGCCACACACTGTTCGCAAACATATCCCATAATACCACCAATCATTCCTCTCTGCAGCGACACGCCGTCTTGTCGGACACTCTTGTGGGACACTCTTGTGGGTCATCCCCAGCTACTCCGCGTACTAAAGTTGTACCACACAGTCGCCAGTTCTCATCTT